AACAATAGAGGTCAAGCACACGCACACAAAACACACACACCCACGCACACACACACACACACACACACACACACACATACATACATACAGTTCAAACACTAAAATCTGAAGTGTGTAACTGCAAGTGACCTAGACTGTCTGTAACAACTTCCTCTCTGTCATTGTATGTCCTCATACACACTGGTCTACTCCTTATACATCTTATAGCCTATGTATGTGTAAAGATCTTCTATCTATAGTAATAGATGGTAAGGTCACCAATGACACATCCTATTAAGTTTACACACGCCCTCTAGAGTTGTAGAGTGTAAATACCTGTTTAAAACATTTGTTTCAGTCATTTGCTTATGTTGCTTAACATAGAAACACAGGAGTGATATGGTAATGATAATATAGGTTTTAAGTATTTCAATCCAAGTTCTGAGAAATAAATTTTTTGGTCATTTTGGCTCTAAATCCTACAATATTACTGAATTTATTCAAAAATGACCTAGAACTAAAACTGCATCAATTTGTCGATTAACGGATTAGTTGTAAATTATTAAATGAACCAACTTTTTTGATAATCAATTCATTGTTTTGAGTAGAATGTCCAGATTCTCTGATTTCCCACAAATGACAGTAGACTGAATGTCTTCGGGTTGAGGACAAAACAAGTAATTTTCTGACTTGGGTTTTCCCCATTCCCATTTCATGGAACAATTAACTAATACATTTATTCAGAAATTGGCCGACAGATTAATTGATGATGAAAATAATCGTTAGTTGGAGCCCTACTTAGACCACCAAACAGAATTGATTTTATGTATCATCCAATGTCTACAAAGCATAATCTTTAGCTTTATATGGCCATTAGCTGAACAATTTTCAGCCTAGTGTTTGGATGTTTAAAACTGAAATGCTTTTTAGGAGTTGTAGTTAACTTCTCGTAACTTCAGTGTACAGTGTTCTTTTTTATTAAAGAACCTGATATTTTCTAACAATTGTCCATCTTCTCTACTGATGATTCAGCTGGGGGAGTTTCATGTCAAGTCACGCAGCACTGTTTGTGTAGAAAATGAATGGGAGTTTTATTTTCAGAACACTGGACGCCAGAAATACCTCTAACTTCCCACTCTATAAATCATATCTAGACACCATGCGTCTTAAATACTCCCTTTAAAAGAGCACTCCTCTGATTTATTCCTAAAGCACTGTTGGACTCAGGATGGACAGTTTAACTGCAATAAAGAGTCTCAAGCCACTCTGTAAACACTTAAATTAATTATTATTTTCAATTTTTATTATTCTTTCAGGCGGTGACATGCAGAAGTCTTGTACACAGTTGGACCATATAACCTTGCTCAGGACATCATTGTATAGTAGTTGTATGGTAATTTGCTATATCTCCAGTTTTTTTCACTGTGATGGAGAATGGGGGGAGAGCATTGTTTCAGCTAAGGCGGGTTCTTGAAGTAAGGAGTGTACGTTTTTTATCAGTTGTTCTTGGCGCCATTTAAACAACTAACTTATATGTAGACATGCCCAGATGATTGGCAGACGCTGAGATCTCTGATCTCTGGTCTGGTATCGCGAGACTACCCGCAATGCAACTTGACCTCTGACAGCTCGGTTGGAGATTTAAGTGTGTTATGCTAGTAGCAGCTAATGTAGCTTTAAGCCTCTAGCTGCGAGCAGCAACTTCTCATCTCTTCTCAAATTGGTAGTGACATCACTTGAGATCATTTATCAGATGTCACACAGCTTCCTCTGGAGACAAAAAGTGTAATATTCTTTTTTCTTTCTTTTCTCAGCCTGTTGCGCCTTACAATGTGAACTGACCTCTGCTGTAAATTACAATGAGCAGCACAAAAGTCTAACTTTGGTTGCCAGATCTCTAACCACCACCCACAGCAGCTAAAACTGTGAGGTTTTAAAAGCAGAAGCACTAAAGTTAGAATTTGAAACCAAGTAAAGAGCTGCTCAGCTGCACCACCAGGTTCAAGACTGGGGGTCAACAGAGACTGTATCACATAGAGCAGGGGTGTCAAACTCTGGCCCGCAGGCCAAATCTGGCCTGTGGTGTAATTATATTTGGCCCGTGAGATAATATCAAATTTCTATTTGAGCTGGCTCGCCGGGTAATGCATGCACCGCTAATACTACAAATGCCAGAATGCTCTGCTAATGCCTTGGCCGAGCAGACCTGCAAGCATCCCCTCCTCTGTTTTCATTCATTCGCAACGTCATGCTACCAGTCACCTAGGGCAGATGTCAGACACCCTTCCCAAAAAATGGCCAAACGGAAGGTGGAAAACAGGAGCTTTCTAGACAGGTGGGAGACAGAATATCTGTTCATGACCGTAAAGGACAGACCTGTTTGTATTGTGTGCGGAGCCAATGTGGCTTTAATGAAAGACTATAATATAAGAAGAATGGAGATAAAGCAGAAGCCCCAGAAGGTAGAGGAGATGAAAAGAAGTTTGGTTTCACAACAGACTATGTTCACAAAGGCCACATCCCAAAGTGAAGCTGCTGTAAAGGCGAGCTTTATTGTGGCAGCAGAGATCACTAAATCAGCCCGACCCTTTACTGAGGGAGAGTTTGTCAAAAACTGCATGATCAAAGTTTGCGACGTTGTGTGCCCTGATAAAAGGCAAGCATTTTTAAACGTGAGCTTGAGCAGAAACATTGTTGCTGATCGTACATGTGAGCTTGCCAAAAATCTGCTGATAGAAAAGGGAAAAGATTTTGTTGCATTCTCATCATTGTTATTATTATTTTTGTTGTTGTTGGCCTGTGAAAAAAATATTCCATTG